TAAAAACCGTTATTTTAAGCCTTCCTCAGAAGAAATGCTTCTGTAACTCACAGAGAAAATAATGTATTAAAATAATGTTGTATCAAGCTACTGCTAATATTATTTTTGCTATTCAAGTTTTCCAAATTCAGATTAATTAAGAATTGCTGCGAAAGTGAAAAGGACCTGAGATTGAACAATGGAGCCCACCATTGCTAGCATTCTGAAACTCACCCAGAAGCAATTTGCAGAGCAAAACATAGGTTTTTAATATCAGATACATTGAGGAAAAATTAGGACTGTCCAAAAATGAAGTACTCTCCTTGCAATACTAGTATTAGAGATATTTGATAACATCAACAAACACAACAAACATGTATATTTTGAACATCTACTATTAGAAACTACTAGCATATAACTGTACTAAGCTTGCAGTGTTTACTGGCTAAATGAATGGTTTATAAGGACATCTGATGTCTTAAGCAGAAACGTTTCTCAAGAAAGTGTCCTGTAATAATTTGGAAAATTTTCAGATACTACTAATAATACTATTGATAGATACTATTGATAGAGAAACATGTACAAATACTATAAGATTTTCTGTTATTTTATACTATGTATGGCTTAGGAGAGCCTCTGTTCCCTTCAAACTTACCTCAGGAAGTTTTGATTGACCTCAAGTGTTCTTTATAATTATCATTTCAATTAAATAAATCACATAAAAACAGCTTTCTTGAAATAACTTTTCTTGATATCCATGTAACACAACTAAGCAAATTTGGATTCAGAATTTCCTAAATCATAAATTTCAGTCAGAGTAATCTGATTTGGGATGATAACACATTTCTGTGCCTAATGCTTAATTGAGAAGAGCATTAAAGCAAAGACAGGTGATGAAAGTTCTCTTTTTTCCTGCATCTCCGTAACTTGGTTGAAAATGATAGATTGGCTAGCTTATTGATTTAGGAATGATCAGCAATATTACTTTCCCTAAAGGAAGATAAAGATAATTCATAACAGATTTGAAACCTGATTTCTAGCTCCCTGTGTAAACGTGTACAAATTTATAAGTTTGACTCAAATTTCTTCCTTAGAAATATCCCCTTATGCATGCAGATAATCTCAACTTTGGAGTTCCCCAAGAATGTAATGATTGCCTTTATGCATATTCATTATATTGCTGGTGAAGCAATAAAGTGTAATAGTTGAAGGCTTAGATCCTGGTTAAATATCACCCATGGCTTTTACTAGCTCTGGATCTTTACAGTTACTTAAACTGTCTGTATCTGTGTTTCTACATTTATGAAAAAAGAGAGAGAATTAAGTATGTTAATATGTGCAAAATACTTAGAACAGTGCCTGGCAAATAATAAGCACTGAAAACATGTTAACAAACAGTAACACTGTGTCATTTCCCAATCTGAATTCTTATTTATACCATGGACCCAATAGTTCCCTTTAAGGATGAAATAAATATGTGCTCAGTAACTGGTCATTTCTGTTCTGATTTCTTCTCATTAAAATTTGTTTCCCAGAGGGGCCTGGGTTGCGCAATCGGTTAGGTGTCCAACTCTTGATTATCGCTTGGATAGTGATCTCAGAGTAGTGAGATGGAGCCCCCCACCGCCAGGCTCCGCGCTCAGTGTGGAGTCTACTTGAGACGTTTTCTCCCTCTCCCACGGCCCTTCCTCCCCTCCTCCCACCACCCTGCACTCGCGAGTGTGCTCTCCTTCTCTCTCTCTAAAATAAATAATAAATAAATAAATCTTTAAAAAAATTTGTTTCCCAAATTTGAGTCATTCACTTACTCTGTTTGTGGGTTTTTCCCCCCATATTGCACACTACATAGTACTTATTTAATTATATTATTTATATTCTATTTTAATGGAAAATGTATTCATACCGCTAACAAATGTCTTTGTGTGCTAAGTTTTCCTGCTAAGACTTAAGTTTGTGTAAATGATAATTAAAACATTCATCAGCTAAAATCATCTCTTGTGCCTCTGGTAATATATACACAATGCATTTTAAAACGTTGCCTCATAAGAAAACTTTCTATAGTGACTAGAAGAGACTGTTTAAAGGCTGGTGGGCCAATATACCCGTCAAAATCTAGTAGTGGTAGGACAAAGGTAGGCCTGGTTTGGCCATAGAAGGAATGGTAAGACTGACACAAGTGAATGCCCAGGTGCTTATTCATCAATGTTGTGGAGACATTACTTGACACTTCTTTCTCTAATATTTACAGCTTGAGGTATTTTATAGGCTAGGAGAGTGATTTTTAGCCCAAGACTGGAAATCCAACAAGTTTCAAGGAAATAGAACAAGAAAAAAAGAATCCCAGAATTTTTCCACCCTTGTAAATTGAATGTAAGGCATATATATTAAATTTTCAGTGAAGATAATAAATCCTAGTTTAATGACTAATAGTTAAGAGAAGTAAGTTCCAAATGCAGAGCAGTACAAAATAAATGCCTGGTTCCTTAAAAGGTTTAAATACCCAGTATATATGTGAATATATATATATATATATGAATATATATATTCATTTCAACATGAATTGAGATCAACTATGGTTGTTTTATTTAAGGTAATGCTAGCAGCTATAAAATTCTCTAAAATACACAATGGCTCCAAGAAATAGAAGTTTATTTCTCACTAAAACAGTTAGAAGGTAATTTTCTATAGGAACGCTCTGTCCTTGCTACAACTTTTCTCTAAGCATAAAATTATTCCAAAATAAAAAGTTTACTAAATAAAACAAAATGCATTTTCCTGGTCTATGTTTGGCTTTTCTCCACATGGCGATTCAGAGTCTTCTTCCATCTTGCCTCTTCAGTCTCCTGCATGGCCTCATTCAGTGTGCGCTCCCAGCCGGCATGGCAGGGAACACGGAGGGGAAACACTCACTGGTTAAAGCTTTGAGTGGGGAAGGCTTCTCATCCCGTTGGTCTGAACCGTCATGTGGCCCCTCCTAACTGCAAGGCAGGCTGAAAAATGCAGTCTAGATATATGCCCTGGAGAAAGGACAGAATTTTGGTGAGCAGGCATCAGGGGCTGCCACGGTCCCCCCACCCCTTCACTGTATGTCAATTTGCACCTATCTTCAACACTTAGAAATACATCTATCCACCTCCCCAAAGAAGATGACCAAAAGTCCCATGCAATTACTACATCAAACTCCAATAGAAGAATAGCAGTGATAAATAACTTTCTCCATCATGCCAATTTCTCTCCAGGGCGTTAGAGGTTTAGAACTTGAAAAAAATGAGTTCTCTGTTCTGTTTTTCACATCACATCCAATAGACAATGGTGGAACGAGAACTTGATAACTGGAAACACCCTCTCATGTGTAAAGGAAATAAATGGTAACCAGCCAACAGTCACTTGACCCAAATGATTATTAAAGCCTGCTGGGCAGGCCCTGTGAGACCCCTGCCCTCCCCACAGAGTCTGTTCCTGGCTCTCCTGGTTCTCCTTTTTGGGATAATTCCCCATACCCATTGTTCTCCAAGGTTTCTGGCTCTGCTTTCTGGAGGCTCCTCCTCCCCCATCATCCCCCACTGGCCACACTGAAAGTGAGCTTGGAAGAGAATGGCTCCCTTGGAGGTTGTACTGCTTTCACAATGCAGTTTTATGGAGAAAATATGGGGTTCAAGGGTTGTATAGAGTCATAGGTTTTGAGGCCAGGTTTTTGGTTTCTTTGCTAATACAAGTCTCTCAAAATCTTAAAAGGCTTTGCTTTAACCCCTTCAGTCAGTTACATGTGCCAGTAACCACAAAGCCATCCAAAGTTCTTTTCTAGACAGTTCTCAGACCTGCTTTATTCTTTAATACCTCACACTCATCTTGCAGTCTCTCCTTCTCTCTCTCTCATTCTTTCTTTTCCTACTTCCCTGTCTCTTCGGCCTTATACCCTGCCACCTTCATGTAAAATACTGGAGAATTCCTGCCTAGTAAAATAGGATTATTAATTAGCGCTTCTATTTAAATTATCAAACAGTACAAATTTCATCATAAATTCCTTCTTCTTCTCTTTTTGTTTTATCATAGAATCAGTCTATGGTGCTTCTTTGGCAGAAACCACCATAGGCATTTCAAAAATTTTGTTCCAAAACCACTAATCCATTGATTATTGTGTCTTTAAATACATTCGTAGAAGAGGGCCTGAAAATTAATAGAACATTGACTCTGAAAAAGCTGAGCTCATATCATATCATAAACACAAGGTATTTCAACATTAAATATTTTGTTTCCTTGCAAGTCACCCTGAAATATAAAGATATAAAACAGTAATTTTTTTTTTATGCTTACGGAGTCTGGTCAAAAACTCAGATAAGACGTAGCAGGAACAGCTTTTGTCTACTACACAGTGTTTGAAGCTTCTACTAGGACTTGAAGCATGGGGATGACTCAATGGCCAGCAGAGAGAACCATCAGAAAATATCTATACTCATATGACTGGCAGTTGATACAAGCTGTCTGCTAGAACCTCAGTTAGTCTCTTAGCCAGAAAACCTATGAGGTCTCTCCCTGTGATCTCTCTGTGTGAGATGATTTGGGCTTCATCCCAACATGGTGAATATTTTCCAAATGTGAGGGTTCTAAGAGAACAAGGAGGAAGTACATGACATTTTTATGCTCTACTATTTTAAGTCATGTAGAGTCACTTCTGCCGTGCTTTTTGAATGAAACAGGCATAAAGCTCTGCCCAGGTTCAAAATGAAAGAACATAGACCCCCCCACTTGATAGGAGGAGTGTCAGGGTTACATGGTAAGAAGTGTACTTTGAATAGGAGATATTGTTGCAGCCAGCAATCTTTGAGTACACATTTTATTCAAATTAGTCAATGTCTAAAACATTTACTTTCCATTTTATATCTACTCTGTTTGACTTCTTGAATGAATCTGAATATGGTTATTTACCTGTGTACTTTACTAAAATATGCTCTTTTAAATCATTTATAGCTTTTTTTTGGAGAAAAATAATATAATAACATCTAATGCCAATATTTTTTCAGATATCCCGACACAGAAGGAATCATTCACAGCATGTCTTGAAAGATGTCATTCCTCCATTGGAACAATTGGTAAGCTGATTTCCCTACAGTATTGTATTATTTATCTACTGCTACAGAATAAATTAACCCAAAACTCAACAACTTAAAACAGCACACATTGTAATCTTATGTTTGTGTGGGTCAGGAATCCAGGCATGGCTTAGCAGAGTCCTCTAGTTCAGAGTCTCTCAGAAGATTTCAATCAAACTTTAAGCCAGAATTGGGGTCACATCTGAAGGTTTGACTGGGGAAGGATCTGCTTTCCTGTTCATGCACATGGTTGTTGGCAGGGTTCAGTTCCTTCAGGAATGTGATCCAGAGGCTGCTCTCAGTTTCCTGCCACGTAGGTTTCACCAAAAAGGCAGCTTGCTTCTTCAAAGCAGTGAAACTGAGAAGGCAAAGGATTCTGCTAGCAAGACAGAAGGCAAATCCTTTATAACCTAATCATGGTAGTGATATCCTGTCAACTTTTCCACATTCTCATGATCAGAATCAAGTCACTAAGTCCACTCCATACTCAAGGAGAAGGGATTACACAAGGCTGTGAATAACAAGAAGCAGAGATTATTTGGGGCCTACTGAAAATTTTGACAATATTTTTTAAGAAAAAAATTAATCCCAGGGTGCCTGTGTGGCTCAGTTGGTTGAGCATCCAACTCTTGGTTTCAGCTCAGATCGTGATCTCAGGGTCATGGGATCAAGCCCTGTTTTGGGCCCTATATTCAGTATGGAGTCTGCTTGAGTTTCTCTCTCCTTCTCCCTCTGCCCTCCTGCTCATGATGTCTCTCTCAAATAAATGAATAAATCTTAAAAAAAAAAAAAGAAAAAGAAAAAAATTAATCTCCTACCAGTAAATTCTAAGCCCACTAAAGCCGGGATTTTTTGTTTCCATTTTGTTTGTTGTTGTATCCTAATGACTAGAAAAGTGTCTGAAACATTGTAAATAACATGAGTGAAGTATTAGAAATATCTTAAAAACATATAAGCCCTTGGGGCCCCTGGGTGGCTCAGTCGGTTAAGCAGCTGCCTATGTACGGGTCAGGTCATGATCCCAGGACCCTGGGATTGAGCCCTGCATTGGGCTCCCTGCTCAGGGGAGAGTCTGCTTCTCCCTCTCTCCCTGCTGCACTCCCCCTGCTGTGCTTTCTCATGCTCTCTCTCTGTCAAATAAAAAAATAAAATCTTTTAAAAAAAGCCAAAAATACAAAAAACATATAAGCCCAAATTTCCTGATATGTTCTGACACTTCTTTCTATTAATAACTCCTTTTTGATAAACATAATACCCCTTTTCTCCATGCTTATCCTTCCTGTTGGATTTCACATTGACCAACATGCTTCCAGTTCCATTGGCTTATAGGATACAGCACCTAGATGACTTTATTCCTATCTTTTCCCTGCTATTCCATCCCCATTATCTTTTTTTTAAATTTTATTTTATTGTTATGTTAATCACCACACATTACATCATTAGCTTTTGATGTTCCCTGATTCATTGTTTGCGTATAACCTCCAGTGCTCCATGCAGTACGTGCCCTCTTTAATACCCATCACCAAGCTAACCCATCCCCCCACCCCCCTCCCCTCTAGAATCCTCAGTTTGTTTCTCAGAGTCCATAGTCTCTCATGGTTCTTCTTCCTCTCCGATTCCCCCCCCCTTCAGTTTTCCCTTCCTACTATCTTCTCTTTTTTTTTTAACATATAATGTATTATTTGTTTCAGAGGTACAGGTCTGTGATTCAACAGTCTTACACAATTCACAGTGCTCACCATAGCACATACCCTCCCCAATGTCTATCACCCAGCCACCCCATCCTTCCCACCCCCCACCACTCCAGCAACCCTCAGTTTGTTTCCTGAGATAAAGAATTCCCCCATTATCTTTGGGCTTTCTCATCCTCAACACCAAAAATATTTATTTTTCTAGTTCAGTTCTTTTATTTTCATTCATTTTGCATGTTCTAGATCCCCCATCTCCATTCTGGCCATTGTTCCATTACTTTCTTTGTTTTAGACTAAAAATTCCTTATTAGGATTATCTACTTTTATTGTGGTTGGTTTCTCCCCTCCTTTATCTCTTGAACCAACTCCATTTAGACTTTTATCTCAACCACTAATCTCCTATCGAGGTCATCAATTGCTTCTATATTGCTAAATCTATTGGTAAAGTCTGTTTTCTCATTAGACCTCGTAATTTAACCCAACTGATAACTCTCTTTGAAACACTTTCCTCATATGACTGCCATGAGTAAACCACTTTCTTATGGATCTCCAATGAATTAAATAGCCACCCATTTTCCATTACTTTTGCTGGTTCATCTTCATCTTGTAGCTCAACCTAACTTTTCTTCTTTCTCTTTATATTTATTCCCTACAGTGCATTGTTCAGTGCCCTGGTTTTAGGTATTATGTTACACTAACCACTTCTCCAGCGTGGCCCACTGCTCTAAGCTCCAGTACTGTATGTTGTGGTGTATTCACTTATATGTCTAACATACATCTCAAACTTAACATATCCCAAGCTCATTCTGATTTTCTCCCAAACTTGCTTCTTTCGACCTTCTCCATTTCACTAGATGCTAACTCTATTCTTCCAGGTTCTTCAGTCAAAACTCTTAAGGTCATCTTTTCTCATAACATAAACTTAAGCATCTGTTAAGCTGTTTGCTCCATCTTCAGAATACACCAGAATCAGTTCTCTTCTCACTACCTTTATGCTATCTCATCTCTCACCTGATTTACTGCAATAGCCTTCAACTGATGTGCTGCTTTCACCCTCGCTTTCTACTTTTTATTTTCAAAACAAGGGCCAGAGTGACCTTGTTAAAATGTAAGCTAGGTCATGTCACTCCTTGATTCACATTCTTCTCTGGCCTCCAGGATCTCCCAGGGTAAAGGCTGACAAACTTGCAGGGTTCATCTTACCAGATCCTACTGGTATCAGCTATCTCTCTGGCCTCACCTTTTCCCTTCTTCTCCTGGCTCATTCTGCTCCAGCCAAGCTGACCTCCTTACTTCTCTCACAGGGCCATTATACCTGCTCTTTCCTATGTCAAAATGATTCATTTTGTGCCCAGAAAATTGTAAGGCTCATTCATTCATTTGTTTTGAACCTCTGTTCAAATAACACCTTTTAAGATAGGTCTTTCCTAATCTCCCTAAAAACAAATAAACAAATAAGAAAACACACTACTGCCATTCACACTCCTTTTCTCTTATCCTAATTGAACTTTCCCCGTGGAATTTACCACCATGTGGCATACTATACAATTTCTTTTTTTGTTAGAATGTTCTGAGAGCAGGGGTACTGTCTCCTATATTCGTAACTCCATTCCCATGATTATAACACTTGCTAGAACATGGTAAGAACTCAGTAAATGTGTGTTAAATTAATGTACAAATGGAACAGTTAATGGTTTTTATTTTTACTTGCAAGTTTGTAATACACAGATCTATACTTGTATACTTTCTCTTCATTATCTCATCCTATATCTTGAAGTGCTAGCCAGTCATTTGTTCTACTGTGTCTCCTTGTCATCTTAGAAGTGAATTCTCCCAGACTGAACCCATCATCACTTTGTTCCCCAACTGGTTTCCTTTTCCATCAAGCCTCTCTTTACAAGTAGCAACCATGCCTCCAGGCTTAGAATGCATTTTCTTGGATCCTCTATTTTATCCATAGCCCATTAAGCAAGTCACTATTTTCCAAAGCAGTTTCTCTGCAATGGGTGTGGTGCCCACATTTTTCTTTATGGTTATACACACATCCTTGCCCAGGCCTTCAGATGCTTCTGATGGCGGCCCCCACCTCTCCCCTGGACCTGCGTAGCAATTCCACACCAGTCTTCTGGAAACGGTACCTTCATTACTTCATTTTCCTTGTCAAAGCACTCAATAGCTTCTTATTCTCTATGACATCAAGTCTATAGACTTCTCTCATGGGTCCTTATTTATCTATTTATTATCTACTCCCAAATACACACCCTCAAGCTAGGGATGGTAACATGATTAAGACATGGCTTTTACCCTGAGAGTGCTTGGATTTTCTGTGACAATTTCTTCATCTTGGCACTCTTTTGTATTGTTCACTCTCAGTTCATGGGTAATATACTTGTTCCATGGTTACACTGTAAATACTTTGAAGTTAGAGGGTCATGACTTGTATTTTCTTTATTATACCATACTTCCCCTTACATTGCTTTTGATACTAGGGCTTGCTCAGAAAGGACATTTTTGTCAACTGATTTAATAATAAGATATGAAAGGTGTATTAAAATTATACTGTTGATTCAGATGTTAACAAATATATGCCTGCTATTTGTAGAGGTTGTCTACGAGAAAGATTCTTTAAAACCTGCTGGGGGGAGAAGGGGGAAGGGCAGGGGGAGAGAGAGAATTCCAAGCACGTTCCACACCCAGCTCAGAGCCCAACGTGGGGCTTGATCTCACCACCCTGAGATCATGACTTGAGCTGAAATCAAGAGTCGGTTGCTTAACCAACTGAGCCACCTAGGCACCCCCCCAATTAAATTTTCATTATCCATTACCATTCACACTAAGGCTTGAATTATTTCTAAAATCTATAAAGTTTTCTTTGTGTCTGACTAATCTAACCTTATATTATTTTTTACCTAGACACACATATTTTTTCCCACAAATCTTGTATGTTCCTTACTTTCATCTCTACTACTCCCTTCCTTCCCATTATTGCTTCTGGAGGCAGCCAGAGGTTCTCACAATAGTTTCCCTTAGCAGTACCAGTCAGGATGAACTATTATAGATATAATAGTATACATTAAGACATTTTAGAAAATAATAAAATTCTTTAAGTTGGTGTTATTACTCATTGTTTTTACCATATGGATTTTTGAGCTTATTTATGTCCAACACTTTTTGCTATATAAATCTCATTTCCTTTATTTCAGAACTCCCCTGAACATTTTCTAGAAATCATGAGAAGCCTTGGCTTTAAGCATAACTGGCAAAAGTATCTCATTAGATCTACCCCCTTGGAGAAAAATGATTCATTTT